GGGGGGGGGGGGACAGAATGGAGATTTGAAGTACAAATTTTATGTTAGAGGTTGCCGATGGATCATGATGTGGTACTCTGTCAACTTACAACAGAACCATCTGAAACTTAAACCATATAAACCTAGGCACAGGAACAAGAGCATTACATAAAAGATAAAATGCAAACAACAGGATTTAACAGATAAATGCGAGAGATGTAAGTAATAAGATTACTGCAATGCTTTCTAAAAATTTGAAATGCATAATTCTTGACCGGAAAATGGGGTAATTCTCTCCTACTTGCACAAACGAATGAAGCCAATGACCATAGTATGATACACGGACATAGAGGAATGTGAAGCTTTGACTCTGCTCAGTCTACTTTACCTTGATGTATGAGCAGGGGAGTGGAGGACCGACACGTCCAACAGAAGTATCATCATAATCACTGAATGTTCCACCAGCACAGGTCTCGGTAAGACCATAACCTTGGCCTATTGGAGCACTAGGAAAATAAACCAAGTAAGATGAGAAGTCTGCAGAAAAAAAAGAAAAGATGCTAGCAAGAAGAGAAGATTGCTTGTTACAATGTAAAGCTGCATATTATTTGCCATTGTTGTTGTTGATAATAATTTACTCAAATATCAATTTGAATGTCTATTTTGATGGAAGTGGAGTCCTTGATTAAAGCATCATACTTTTTATTAATTAACATAGAATTTCATCATTCAAGTAATGTACGATGCTAGTTATTAATTAGAACACAGGGTGAAAACGTGAAAAGATATGACCACACTAAAAGCCTAAAGGTTAAGTTTTTCTCAGGATTCTCTTCCTATCATCAGGCAGACAGGTAAGGCAGATAAATATTTTCAAGTTATAAGCTACTAGATTTACACCATTAGAAACAGCAAATAGACAACATTACGTCAAAGTTTCTTTAAAATGGACACTTCAAATATAACAGTTAGTGGCAAAGAGAACCTAAGGGGAGAACAAAACCCCAAGGGACAACAAGTGTTCATTGGACACTTTACAATATAAAAGTTAGTGACAACTAGAATCTAAGGAGAGGAATAAAACTTTCAAGGGGAAGATAGCAACAAGAATTCCTATGTCTGCCACAAAAAGTCAAAAACTACCCAACTTCTTAGTACGACAGCGGTGAGATAGGTTGTAGAGATTAGAATGTTGAAAGAGATATTATATGCTGCCAGATTAACCTTGAGACTGTAAGAAACAGGCACTGTTGAAGTTGCGAAGGTAACTCTTGCTGCCAATCTATTTTCAAGTAGTAAAATCGTTACACAATGCGGATATCAAGCAAATGTTCTAGACCATCATCTCAATGGCTTATGGGGATCATGGTCAGAGGTCAATTAGAACTTTAAATATTAGTTTCATTTGGTATCAAACTAGTGAATCCTTTAGATCATTGTATTCTGTGATGTGAGGTCAAATTTGCTACAATGAGAAATGTGCATATTAAGCTTTCAGATAATTTATGTGGGGGCACAGTTTCAGAGTTACTCACCCAAGGCATATGTTGATAAATCTCTGAGTATCTCCAGAGAGAGGAGCTCCTCCTGACAGGATAAAACGGATACGGCCGCCCAGAATTGCTTGAACCTTCTTAAACACTAATAAGTTCCAAAAATGTTTTTCTAAGCCCCAAGCTCCAAGCCAATTACCATTAATTGCAGACTGTCTGCGGGAATATGCCAAATCAAACAGCTTTTTTGATAATCCGCCTGAAGCATCTACCTGAATTTTACCAATGTTAGCTTCACGTACCTACAGCACGTAATAGGTATGCAGAAGCAACCAAAAGAACTAAGAAAATATATCTTTTGCATCCTAAGTTATACCTTTTTACGCACACCATCTCGAACCCGATCAAGAATTGCTGGGACAGCTGCCATCACTGTCGGCCTTAACACAGAGGCATCTCCTTTAGTTCCTTTCTTTATCTTATTTGAAGTATCAGTAAGAGTCAGAGGAGAGCCATATCCTATAGAACCACCAATCCCAGGCACTATGGTCTGCAGAAAAATCAGAATTTTAATTTATTAGATACAAAGTAAAGACATGAACAAATCATACACCCAACAAATTTGGTAAGACATTGGTACATTACCTCTGCTGCAAGTTCGAGAATATGAGCAAGCGGTAGGTATGCTAAGTAAACATCTTTGCTTCCAAGACCGGGTACAATTGTCAGAACAGCAGAAGCTGTAGCTAGAACGTTCCTGTGTGTCATCATCACACCCTGTGCACCAGATAAATTGTTAGTGATTTTGCAATGATTGTTATTTTTTCTTCCTAGAGAATTTCTTGACTCATCCAGCTACTTGAGGAAGAAAACAATGCAATAAAACTTAGGAAAATCTCACTTTCCTAGTACAAGTTGGTGAACATTTTTAGCATTTCCGACACCTTTACCATGAAGATATTGAATTAGAACAAGAGTAAGGAAATCCAAAATCTCTAGTAAATTCAATTATCACATTTTCTACGCCTCTTTCTTTCGTTAATACTAGAGAATATCTTAGTTCTTTTCATCTACTTTTATGGGTATACTGAGTGAAATCACCTATTCCTCCCTCAAAGGATATGAAGCAGGTCTAAATTAGAAAAACAAAAGGATTGTAAGCTGTTCCTCCAAAGGCTAAGGCTCAGTTGTAATGTTCCAACTAATAACACTGTTTTCACCGATTTGAAGCAGTGAGAGTGTGAAAATTAACCTTGGGCAGACCAGTACTTCCGCTGGTATACATGATCACAGCAATATCAGCTGCAAGAGGTAAATCTGGGTCAACAGGGTTTTCTCGGCCAAGCTTCTCCACATCAGAAAAGGTAGTCAATGTCCAGTTGCTCCCTGCGGCAACCAAGGCACTTGATGGAATCTCATCCATGCATATCACACGTTTGACAGTATCAAGTTGTCCACTAATGTCTACAAGTTTCTTTAGTTCCTTTTGCCCGCAAATGACAGTAGTAACCTCTGTCTGAAAAAGAGAACTAGCTGACAACGAGCAATATGCAGCAGATAAAACACTTCAAGAAGAACAGAAATGATTTGAAAGAGTACTACACAGAAATATCTAATGAGGAATACATAGATTTCAGATTAAGATTCCATAGCATATTCCAGCATACCAATAATATCTTTAAGGATGGAATTTAAAACAAAAGTATCGATGAAGGCAAAGTGTCAATTCTCAAGTTCGCGAATATCCAGATCTTGCATGGATGAGTTGCTGCAGTACTATCTTGATACTGTGACATTTTTTAAAATAAAGTTAAGTCTTTACTGATTGAAAGAAAAAAAAAATCACTCATGGATGAATCAAACTTTAGCTAAAAGTGGAATGCTGTCCTTTTCTAATTTCAGCCAGAAGGATGCTAGAGCTTCATTGAAGAGATTATGACTCCCTCAATTAGATTCAAAGAGAACAAACCTGATGAAGGACTCTGCCAGAGATTATCAGTTTCACCTCGAAACGAACAATTTCATCACCCGGGGTAATTGATTGTCAATTTACCTTTCTTAAAGTACCACTGTTCTAGCCTCTAGGGTATTTCAATATCTTCCTATGAATTAAGGTTTTCCTTGTGTCTAGTATAGAACTTACAACTGAAGTTATAGAGGTATGAATACATTTAAACCTACATGGGGGTCGTGGAGGAAAACATAATTCGTTTCAAACTGCTTCACGCGCTAAAGTGGCCAGTACAAGTTGAAAAACGAAGATAAAGAATAATCCACGGAAACTGAAGAAGGTGGAGAAGGCAAGTCAGACCGATGCTTGACAACAGATATCAGTTAAAAGAACGAGTTAGCATAACATCAAGCTCATATCTGAAAACTGATTTTGAGGTCAAAAATAAGTAAATATGATTATCATTCTACCATAACTGATCTGTTTTCCCAAAATTGTACAGTGATTCTTGAACTTTGCACGTTATTTCACAAGAACAGATCTTCAATTCTATCATAACTAGGTAGGCCTATATTTAGCAATTAGCATCACCTGTACAACAACAACAATAACAACAAAAACATCGTTCTAGTCCCAAACAAGTCGGGCTCGGCTATATAAATCCTCAGTAACCATGTTTCTCCAGTTAATTTCATCTCAGAGCAACATTATAAAAGCATTTTTTTTCTTTACTAATTGAGACAGTTCCAATTACTACATCTAGTACAGGATTGCGCACATAGTGGTGGTGTCACTAGTAAGCTCTTCCAAGTATGATCTCTTTGTTATGCATAAAACACTATTCTTGAACCTGTTATGTATGCATGTTCTGATTTGTGACTGAGAAGAGAGAGAGAGAGAGAGAGAGAGAGAGAGAGAGAGAGAGAGAGAGAGAGAGAGAGAGAGAGAGAGAGAGAGAGAGAGCAAGAGAGAGAATTGACCTGATTTAATGAGTAACAGAGGGCCTCTTCACCAAGAGATGCATAAATAGTAACCACTGTCACAATGCGTCTGAAGCAACTCTGGTGTAGACAAAGCGACTCAATGTTATGTCAGTGGCATGGCAAAATGTACAAAAACATGACTTAGATATTACTAGAATCTTAGCCGTTTATCAACCTGTTAAAAAAATATTGTCTCTTGGAGCATCTCAAATCTACAAATGAACTAGTACATAAATGTCATCGTCATCAGTGCAAACAAAGACTGCATATTCAGTTTCCAGCCAGGGGTTCGGGTGGAAGGAAAAGAAACCTCTTTGTTCTGTTAGTACAGAAACAAATATGTACCTGTAATGCAATTAACCATTCTTCACATGTATCTGCAAAGATGGCCACACGTTCTTCTCTTTTGTGCCCAAGTTGTGCCAAACCGGAGGAGAAGCTGCACACAATCTCAAATGTCTGACCATAACTCAACCACTCATACTCACCCAAGTGAAGTTTCTCAAATGACCTTCCATTCGCAGATATTTCCATCTCTCTGGAAAGCAGTTTCCGGCTTCCTAGTAACTTCTTGTGATAGTACTTCTTGCATGAATACTCAAAAAGCTCGGCCAGCGTTGTGATTCCTTCCCACGCTGTTTCTACCGGTGCACTAAACCGGCGGTTTCGGATAGCATAACCAGATTCACCACTAACATCAACAGGCAAGCCTCGCTTTTTCCGCCTTCTTCTATTCTGAAGGAGAATAGTTACAACTAGAGGAACAAGAACACCAGCAACATAAGGCCCCATCTAATTTACCCTGACAAAAGCAAACAATACACTTTCTCAAACTGGTCGTAGATAATGGTAACGTTTTCGAGAGTGATAAAACATGTATCATCCAAAGAGACAGGGAAGGCAACAGAAAGGTTCTCAACAGTAGATATACCGCGAACATCAATTCCCACCATCCTGCAACAAAGAAGAAAAGAAAGAACAAGACTATCTGCAATCGAACAGATTAAGATATTTTATCAAATTTTCAGTTCTTCCTCCTTTTTCCATTCTTGTCTAGTAAAGGGAAATTGTCAAAAGATATTCATTTGTTACCCAGCATGAAAAATAAGAAAAAAATAATTTAAAAAAAAAAACTTTTTAGACTAGCAGATATTCCAAAACAACATCATATCAACAGGTATGCACAAATTTAGATTAAAACTACCTAATGATTGGGGTGTGGCAATCTGCTAAGCCTAATTTGCTTTTCTTTTTTCCAACTTTCTTTAATTCTTAAAAATGGTAAAGGCCAATCAGAAAAAGTCAAGCTACAGTTCCCACTTCCAAGAGGGTGTAGAGTTCAAAAGGATCCAATTTTTCAAGGAAAAAAACAATTCATTAAAAACAGAAACTGTGAAAGCAAGCTCAAACAATCTATAAGGTGTGGAACAAACCAATCAAACTTCATAGTTCTGACTACTTCAAGAAAAAAAAATGAATAAATGCATGTGGGGAAAAATCAAATCTTTAGCCATCAAATTAGCAAAAGATTACATATGCAAAAAGAAAATAAATAACAGAAGAAATGCCAACCATTTAGTTCACATTGATAAAATAATTGGAAATGTCATTACTCAATGCAGTCTACTGAATACACCCATTCTCAAATTCAACAAGTCTAAGCTAGATTACACCTACTTTCAAGATTCAGAAATAAACAGCAAAAATGAAAATCCGTCTTCAGATAAATGACAAACGAATGTGTGGAATGAAGAAAAAGAACGTACCTTTACCTTGAAGAATCCCAGAATTTAGCTGCAAGAGGTTTGTGAAAGAAAAAGTACCTAAATTCAGATGAATACCAAAAAGGAAGAAAAGGGTACTAAGTGGGGAGGGACGAAAGAAGGCTGAGCTTAGTGTTGAAGGTTTGGTATGTTGGTTTGGCGGAGGGATCGAGAGTTGTGTACAAGTTGGAGTTTCAGCCTATTTTGTTCAGCTACTGTAAAGCTGGGCAAAATGCTTGTTTTTTCTTGTTTTCTTGTGTCAGCTATTTCTGATTTGGATCATACGCGTGGACTAAAGGGTTGATTTGGGTGATGGAGATTGCAGAGTGCCTTGCTGAAATGTGGTGAAGTCCAAATCGTGATTTTTGTGTTTAATTCCATTCTGTTATAAACTGTATTTTATTTAGGGCAAAGGTACAAATATTCTCTTATGATATAAGAAATTGAGCATATTTGCCCTTCGTTAATACTTTAGCTCAAATATATTAGAGTTATGCAGTTGACCCATATATGTCCTTTTCGAAATGGAATTCACCCAAACTAATTAGCTCTTTCTTTAATTGTCTTAAAGTGTATTACAAATACTATTTCCTTTTTATTAGTACTTTTTTTTCTTTACCTTTTTCTTTTCTTTCATCTTTTTTCTTTTCTTCTCTTTTTTTTTTTCTGTTTTTCTTTATCCCTTATCCTATTTCCTCAATTACTAATTATTGATGTCTTCTCCATTTTCATCACCAATTTTACTTGACAAAACTCATAAATTCCAATTACTAAGAAAATTCTCTCATAAGGTAATCAAGTTCCAATTTCACTGGCCCTCTAAATAAATAAAATTAAATTATTTCAAAAATTATAGTTTAAAATTTAAAATAATAAAAATACCTCACCCTTTAAGAATACTCAAAAGACCAAAATATTTAAATTATTTCCAGAAAGATAATTTAATGATTAAATGCCTAGAGTTCAAGTTGTAGTGTTATAAATTTGAGTTGTTAGTCTTTTTTCAGCTGGACATTTTTTATTTTTTTTATTAACTATATATGTAAATTAGGGGTGTACATGGAACGGGTTGGTTCGATTTTTTATCAAAATCAAACCAAACCAATTATATCGGTTTGGATTATACGGTTTTGTTGGATTTTCGGATTTTTTGTTACATAAATATTATTTTAATCTTACTTTGTTAAATTTTTTAGAACTAAATATATGTTCAGTAAAAATTAAAAAATTAAAAAATATATGATCTATAAAAATATTCTTATGGGAGAATTTTCTTAGTAATTGAAATTTATGAGATTTGTCAAGTGAAATTGGTGATAAAAATGGAGAAGACATCAGTAATGGAGGAAATCGGATAAGGGAGAAAGAAAAAGGAAAAAAAAGAGAAGAAAAGAAAAAAGATGAAAGAAAAGAGAAAGGTAAAGAAAAAAAAGTACTAATAAAAAGAAAATAGTATTTGTAATACACTTTAATACAATTAAAGAAAGAGCTAATTAGTTTGGGTGAATTCCATTTCGAAAAGGGCATATATGGGCCAACTGTGTAACTCTAAGGGCATATATGGACCAACTATGTGACGCTAAGGGCATATTTGAGCTAAAGTATTAACGAAGGGCAAATGTGCTCAATTTCGTATAGTATAAGGGCATATTTGGACCTTTTCCGTTTTATTTAAAGTGAATGTTTATCACTTTGGAGAAATATTAAATATTATTATTTTGTGGCTAAGTCACTTTAGAAAAATATTAGGTATTATTACTTTCTGATTAAGTCAATTTTTTCCTATAAATAGAGGGGTTTTATTCATTGTATTTCAATCCAAAAAGAGAATAAGAATTACTTCTCTCCCTACTCTTTCTCTGCAATATTCTTCTTTTATTATTACTTTTTTTATCACGTTATCTGTACGAGACTCTACCATCTCAACAAGTTCTTTGAGAAGTTAAGATAAAGCTTTTCTTCTCTCTAATTTATGGCTAATATTACGAAATGTGAGTTCCTTGGCCTTGATATTTCGGGTAAGAATTATACGTCATAGGTATTGGACGCGAAGATCCACTTAGATGCCCCATTAAAAATAGAAATAAAGCATCTAACCAAGATTGTACTAAGGCCATGATTTTCTTACGCCATCACCTCGATAAAGGTTTGAAGATTGAATATCTCATAGTTAATGATCCACTTGTGTTGTGGAATAGCTTAAAGGAAAGGCATGGCCCCCTTGAATTTGGTCACACTTTCAAAAACATGGTACGATTAGACTCATCTAAGGCGATAAGACTTTAAGTCTATTTTTGAGTACAATTTTGCAATGTTCAAATTTACTTGTCAGAGATATCCCCCGTTTCACCCAAGAAATATAAATTTAATCATCAAACATTTGGAGCGTGAAGTGTAATTAGATCCATTTTTAGGGGATTCATATTACTATTATCAATTAGAATAATTTATGGCTGGCTTGGTAGGACTAAAAAAATAAAGTATCCAGGCTCCATTTAAAAAAATCCAATTGGATTGGTAAGATATCTATGATTGTTATTCATGTTTTTTCTTTGTAAAGAGATTCTAATTGATGAAACTATGTGGAGATAAGATTAGTGATTTTGATATGCTGGAAAAAATATTCTCCACCTTTTATGCCTCGAATGTGCTCCTTCAACAACAATATCAAGAAAAAGTTTGAAGAAGTATTCTAAATTGATGTCTTATCTCCTCGTGGCTGAACAAAATAATGAGTTGCTAATGAAAAATTATGAGAATCGACCCACTAGCTTTTAACTATTCCCTAAAGTGAATACGGTGTACTCCCACTACTTTAGGTGTAATGACCCAACCAGTCATTTTAACTTTTAGAACCCCATTTCCTAAAATAAAACTTCTCGTATGTACTTTTAATGATTTATGACTTGCGAGGATGGTTGGTTCGGGATTTGAAAGTGTCTGGGTTGAAACCGGAACACTTGGTTTCTTAAGTTGGCCTTAAAGTGCTAAGTCTGACTTCGGTCAACATTTTGAGAAAACGACCCCGGAATAAGATTTTGACGATTCCAACAGCTCTGTATGGTAATTTTGGACTTAGGAGCGTGTTCTTTATTTTATTTGGAAGTTCGTAGTTAAATCAAGTTTGAAATGGCTAAAATAGGAATTTAAGTTTGGAAGTTTGACCTGGGAGTTGACTTTTTGATATCGGAGTCGGAATCCAGTTCTAAAAATTTTCATAGCTCAGTTATGTCATTTATGACTTGTGTGCAAAATTTGAGGTCAATCGGACTTGATTTGATAGGTTTCGGTACCGAATGAAGAAGTTGAAAATTTTAAGTTTCATTAAGCTTGAATTGGAGAATGATTCGTGGTTTTAGCGTTGTTTGATGTGATTTAAGGTTTCGACTAAGTTCGTATGATATTTTAGGACTTGTTGGTATAATTGGTTGAGGTACCGAGGGGATCAGGTGAGTTTCGGACGACTAACTGATCACTTTTGGCCTTTGAAACACTGCTGATAACTGTTGGTATTTTCTCCTGGTATCCTTATACGCGATCGCCTAAGTTGGTTTGCGATCGCGTAGAGTAAGTTAGTCAGAGGTGGATTTGTTCTATGCGATCGCGTGAATGGGATTGCGATCGCGTAGGGTTAATTTGGGTAGCTAGGAATTTGTTCACTGCGATCGCGTAGACACGTCCGCGATCGCGTAGGATTGGCTAGTGTGTGTATCGTGATCGCGTGTCATTGTTTGCAATCGCGCATGGGAACTTTGAGAGGAAGCTGGGCCACGCGTTGTGCTATGCGATCGCGTGATGAGGGATGTGATCGCGTAGAGTCGGAACCTGGTGCATCGCGATCGCGTGAATGGGGTTGCGATCGTGTAGGGTTAATGTTTGGGTAGAAAAATTTGTGCTACGCGATCGCGTGAGGAAGTTCGCGATCGCGTAAAAGAAATCACTGGGCAGAGAGTTTAAGTTCTGAAAATGGGACTTCATCCTATTTTACATTTTTAACGATTTGGAGCTCGGATTTAGGCGATTTTTGGGAGATTTTCAGAGAAAACAACGGGGTAAGTGTTCTTAACTCAATATTGGTTAAATTACCCGAATCCATCACTATTTTTATCATTTAATTGGTGAATTGAGTTGGAAAAATTTGAAAACCCTCTTGGATAGATTTGAGGATTTGAGGGCCGAAGTATTATCGGAATTTAGTGATTTTGGTATGGGTAGACTCGTGGTTGAGCGGGTGTTCATATTTTGTAACTTTTGCCGGATTCCGAGATGTGGGCCCCACAGACGAATTTTTAATTAATTTTGGAATTTTTATTGAAAATGTAGTATTTTTTTTATAGAATTGATTCCAATAATTTTTAGTGATTGTATCGAATTATTTTTGTTGAGCGGGTGTTCATATTTCGTAACTTTCGCCGGATTCCGAGACGTGGTCCCCACAGACGAATTTTTAATTAATTTCAAAATTTTTATTGAAAATATAGCATTTTCTTATAGAATTGATTTCAATAATTTTTAGTGATTGTATCGAATTATTTTGGCTAGATTCGAGCGAGACAGAGTTGGATAATCGTGGAAAGGGCCTTCTAGAGGATTGAATTGGAGCAAGACGAGGTAAGTCTCTTGTCTAATCTTGTGAGGGAAAAATTACCCCATAGGGATTAAATTGAATAATTGTTACTAATTGCGGGGGCTACGTACGCACG